TGTAGTGTTGTATATATATATATATATATATGTGTGTGTGTATGTATGTGTGCGCATATTAAAGCAACTAAAATATTTATATTTAATTAAAATATTTAGTATATTTTCCTCCATTTTTTTACCTCAGAAACTTGCTCTGTCCCATGAGCCATTGCGTCCAAACCTTGTTCGAGCAGGGTAATGTCACTGATTGTTTCCAGAATGAGTGATTTGTGCTTGAAGAGCACATCTATGTATTTACCTAAAAAACGGATATTAAAGCAACTAAAATATTAATATTTAATATTAATATATTTAGTATATTTTCCTCCATTTTTTTACCTCAGAAACTTGCTCTGTCCCATGAGCCATTGCGTCCAAACCTTGTTCGAGCAGGGTAATGTCACTGATTGTTTCCAGAATGAGTGATTTGTGCTTGAAGAGCACATCTATGTATTTACCTAAAAAACGGAAACATTTTCAGACTTTACACTCATTCTTTCAGTGAATTACAGAGTAGTGACTAAAAGCAGTGTGTTGATTCAAAAGCTGTTTGACACTCACTGGTTTGCAGAAGTTTTTGAGCGTTTGGTTTCTCCTTGACCTTCTGCATGAGAAGCCGCAGCTCTGGACTGTGTGTCTCTGTCCACAGCAGAAGCCTCCAAACAGTCACCGCCTGCAGTGAACCGTCCAATGCTGCAGATATCAGCCTTCCAACCACCTCAGCATCTCCTGTCTCTGCCAGTAGAGCTTCAATACACTGAATGGACACAAATATATACATTTAAAAACCACTTACTTGCATTGAATCCACTGTAAAACTTCAAAAGTCAATTATTAATGCAACACAGGTACCTCTTTCTCGTTTGCATTCATATCTGGACCCATTTTAAGGCTCTGTTTGATGAGCTGGACGTCCAGATTCAGCTCTATGAGTCTGTTCTGATACATTCTCAACAAATCCATCCCACTGCTGTCTTCTGTTGTTTTATCTGAGAAAGCAGCAGTCATCAGAAGTGTTAGCTAAAGGAATATGCTGTATAATGAAACGGATGAGGCACTGTTGCCAAGTTTTGCGGTTCATACCCCTTGTGCCTTTCAGGGCCTCCAGAAGCTGAAGCAGATCTGAGGAGCTTTCCTTCACCTCATGCAGCAGCATCAGAAACGTTTCTTCACTTATGGTCATCTCTCGGAGTTTACATAACAACCTTTCCACCACCTCCACAGAGGATGGAGCAGAACAGCACTGCAGCACTACCTTAGGAAGAACAGACACATACACTAGTGTTTAAAAGTCTGGGGTTAGTTTTTGTTGGAAAGAAATTAATACTTTTATTCAGCAAGGATGTATTTATGTTTTCCACAAAAATATTAAGTAGCACAACTGTTGTCAACATTGATAATACGAGGAGTAAATCAGCATATTAGAATGATTTCTGAAGAGTATCATGTGACAGAAGCCTGCAGTAATGATGCTGAAAATTCAGCTATGCATCACAGGAATAAAT